TAATAGCTACTTCCCTACTCCCCTAACACCTTCAGTAGTCACGGTCAAATCGAGAACACCTTCAGTAGTCACGGCAAAAACATGAACAAAATCCACGACCTTGACAAATCCTTAAACATCTTCCTCGGTCACGGAAAAATCAAGATCATCTTCTGCGGTCTTGGCAAACTTGATAGCATCAGTAGTCCCGGCGAAGTCATGAGCATCTTCAGAGGCAAAAAAAAAACCTTGGACATCTTCTGCGGTCACGGGACATCATCATCTCCTGTATATATACATATATATACATCTGTATATATACATTGGTTTAAGAGATATTTCTTAAAAGACAATTCAAAATGTTAAAAAAGTTTCTTTTGAAAATGAACATAAATCAATATTAACTCACCAGGGTTTGGTTTGACTAATTTCCATGGCGTATTAGTGGCTCCTTTGGACTTTAAAGTGGAAATAAAACTGTCCAAGTCATCGTCATCAGGTGCATCCTAAAAAAAAATTTATTGTGGTAAAATCGGTGATAGTTCTCAATTATGTTGCATTACCGTTTAAACTTATAAACTTAAATACTTATAAACTATTTTACAATAGGCATATTTTTCTGACAGAAAACTAAAGTGTGTAAGTATTTTAGCAGTACCTTCAGGAGTAAATTGTTTTCTAAAAGAGTTGGATCAACATCAAGAAGGATCTTGTTCCTATCAGCCATTATTTCAGAAAAAAGACGTTAGCAGATAATTCCTGGAATCAGAAATACATGTTACATTAACCTTTAAAGATAAAATCTTAGTAATTCTTAGTATCTTTCTTAGTAGTCAGTCGAGCTAAAATTAAAAACAAAGTTAAAAAACAAAAGTTATCTATTTGAGTTTTTATATGATTACGTCTTTAGAAGGCTAAATCTAAAGGATTACAAAATAAACTCTCAAAGAAATATGTGTAGTTCTCAAGTATTAAAATTTTTTCTTGGGAAGTGATGATTTGGTCATCCTAGGTTTATTCTACAGCAAGAACCAGGTACACGAGATCTCAGGTCCGCCGACTTAGAAGAGTGAAAAAAAAACAATTAAATCTTCTTTCTAAATAAGTTACAACTATAGTTCGGCCGCTTAGAAAACGACCTGCGCGCTAATGCTAAACCAATGCTGGAGGAGGTCGCTTTCTAAGCGGCCGAACTATAGCTGACCCGTGCAAAGCATTCACACTGAATCATCCTCGAATCTCACTTATTTGAGTACACAACATACAGTTAAAACTGCCTAGTAAGTGAATCGTTGATTTAACAAGTGCCTTCAAGTGAACTTCATTATTCTTGTTGACCTTAAACTAATACAGTATTATTTAATAAAGACATTTTTTTGTTGAAATTTGAAAATTTATAACTTGGTTCAGGATCTTAACCGTCAGTCGCACCTTATCTATTAGATACCACAACATGAAAAATTGCCTCAAAACCTGTCTTGGCCACTGTGCTGCTTCCTCCTCTTCCCCTTCACACCTCAGTATCATTGTTTGCGTTGTCTCGTGCACACATGCCTTTTTTTGCTTTATTGTATCTGATAGATACAGTGCGACCTGTCCCGTTTTTATTTTGTGATGTATTTCAAAATAAAAACGGGACTGGTCTTGTTTTTATATGATATTATATCATACACAAACTAGGTAATTCCAATAAATATAGAAATAAATAAAACTGTTTTCACCCTGCAAAGAAAACGTTGAGTTTAATTTTACATACAGTGACGGGCATGGTCGCACTGTATCTAATGGAATGTGTATGGTCTGAGAAATTTGTTTTAAACTTACTGCAGTAGAACTCCTACTATCCGAATCAATTGGGACCAGACCCAATTCGGATAATTGGAGTTTTACAGGAATTCCGGGAATTTCCAAGAAAAATCCTCATTTTCGGTACTAAATGAACTTTTAATTAGGTAATAATAAATTAAATCAGAACATTTTTACATTTTACAATGCTCATAGCACAAGTGTTCTGTACATGTTATTAAGTTAGGGGGGGCCTAATAGTGTTCCATAAAAGTCCTAAATTATACAGTTTGGCTAAATTTGTTTAGCAACAATTCTTTGATATTTTGCGAAACTTATTATTACTGTAACTTTACATTTTTTAAATTGTTGAAATAAGCGATTCGGATATTCGGTTAGTTGGAGTTCTACTGTAATTGAGAAATGCTTAGACGGTGTGAACAGGGCCGTCCTAAGGGGGGGGGGGGCAACCTGCCCCAGCCGTGGCTGAGGGGGCGCCGTTCCGCGGCTATTTGTATTAACATAGTATTAAAAATATGCGAATGCAATTACTACTTGTGGGGAGAGGGGGCGCCACGACCACGTTTGCTCCGGGCACCGCCAACTCTAGGGACGGCCCTGGGTGTGAAATATGTATGAAGTCTATAACTAACTTAGGTCAAGAGTTGTTATATAAAGTAAATAAAAATTAGGGGGGAAATATATGTCTAAAGTACCTACTCAAAAAAATGTTTAAGGAAAAATGCTGACTCTGAGAGATATCTAGTAAGACCAGTTGTGTTAAAAAATAGGTGCGACCGACGGAGGGGTAATAATAAGAGTGAAACTTTTACAATGGTTTAGGCCTAACATTGTAAAGGTGCATCTAGTTTAATCAAATTCAGATTTTTTTCTGTTGCCCCACTAGAGTGGGGATGAGCATCAATAGTCGATGTTTTCGAAACATCAATATTTTTCTATCCATGTTCGATGTAATCTGCATCGATTTTTGATCGAACATCGATGTTTTTGGCCAAGTATTGAAATATAGATGTTTCCCGTAGAATTGTATCAAGTTAGTTTTTATGAAAATTTAAATGTTGGTCTTAACAGGAATTTGAATTTTTGCTTTTACAATTTATTCTATTGAAAGGCTGATGAAATATTGAATAAAAAATTTTCGCAAACTGGACTAGACCAAGACCCAAAATAGTGGGGTCTTGACTAGACTTAAAAAGTGTAGAGTAAGTGAGATAACTAACTTACTATCTATTTTTTTTTGTGAAGTGTTTGTTCAAAATTTCTACCTAAAAATCAATTTCATAAGTTATTTGTAATAAATTCAGTGGCAGTACTCCTGCACTCCAGCACAATCAATTACTAACTTACCAATATTTATTTTGTCTTGCAAATGTGAAATAAAAACTGCTAATCTAGAACGTCTAACATAGATAGACTCACCAAAGCAAGGGAGTGTTTAATCAATGATACTTAGTAAAGTAGTTAGTGACTTAAGTCAATAGGGTTTTATATGAGGCAATACAGAAAACAGATAGGCCTAAAAAAAAAAAAAAAAAAAAAAAAAAAAACATCAATTAACATCAATGTTTTAGCCCCTAAAACGTGATGATGTTTTTGATGTTTTCGCCACGATGTTATCAGGTACATCAATCGCTGACATCAATGGTTGAACTACGATGCTCATCAGTTCATCGCCTACACTAGAGTCATTGACTTGAACCTAAACATTTGTAAAATAAGATAAAGTGAATAGAAAATAGAGGGAGAAACAGTTTTTGGGTACAGTTTCTTAACTGGGCTATGCTGGGTAGGCTAATATCGATTGAAACTATCGATTCCATTAGTAAACCTTCATGCGATTTTTTCATCATCAGCAAGTTTGGTTGGTTAGGTTAGGTTAGGATAGTTTTATTCAACAATAAATGCATTTAAAAATATTGATTACCAATCAAATTTTTTCAATTTAATAGTTTCAATCAATAATAGCCTAGCATAGCCCAGTTAAGAAACTGTACCCCAGTTTTTGTATCTAAGTTACAACAAAACTGGAGAGTTTAATTTTTAACCCTAAAAAGTTGAATTTGCTAAATTGAATCATAGACAAAACATACTCCTCATTGAATCTAGAACTTGGGCAGTAAGAAAACATTAGCTACCATCTATAGGCTACTCACTATACTCAGCCCTCACATACAAATGACTAAATGAGTGTGATGATTGGTAGAGAACGTGTTAATACTAGTTTAACACTTACCTCTAAGGAGTTAATTTCTCAAACGAACCTAATAATGATTAAATTATGATTAACCTTATGTGTTATGATGAGCTTTAAAGTTTAAAATGTATAAGTTAAGTTTAAAGTTTAGGTTTACCTTCAGCAGAAGACACACAAGGCAATGTTGTTTTTGTTTTGATATTAAAAAAAAGAACACAAACATAAAAAGAAGCATAAAAGAAGAAGTTGACTTTCAGACAGACTAGTTGTTAAGACATCGAGGTTATGAGATCTCATAACCATGGATTAAATGTGTAGGGGCCTCAGTCTTATAGTTATAATTACACACCCACAGTGCCTGGTCAAGAATTTGTTGCACCACTGCCGCTGTTAACTCCAGGCCGCGGCCTTCGAAGTGGCAACGTTGCAAGTGCAATATTAATTTATTGAAAATAAAACATATAGAATTGAAAAGAAAAACAATATTTAAATAGAAAATAAATTTTTGTAATTTTAAAGTGGAGTCAATATTGTCATAGTCCAGTAACCAAGCTTTCGTAAATACACAAATACCATTAGCTGCTGCCAAATTAAACAGCTGTTTCAGCACCACTTGCGACTTTGCCAATTCGAAGGCCGCAGCCTGGGGCCCATTTCATAATAAACTACAAGTTACAACTTGTAACTTGTAATTTCCATTAGATTAGCATTGGGCGATCAGCTGATTTACTAATAATATTAGTTTGTACTTTATTATGAAATTGAAATGGACGCCTCGAGTTAAAGACGGCCGTGCGATTACAGTAAGGATCCGTAAATCAAAATGATCACTCGATTAATTGTTTTCAATCGTAAATATTATATTTTGGATTAAAAATTATATAAACTATATCAAAATTATAAATATAAAATATGAGATTTATAATACCTCAGTGATAGAGACCAATGCTTACAATATTTTAATAGTCTGTATATAGATGAAAATAATAGTCACGTGATAGCAGAAAAGAATCTAAACAAAGCTCAGTTCAGCAAATGTCATAGGGTAAGGTTAAGTTTATGTTTATTTTATTCCAAATTTCAGTTAGGGATGAAAATTAGATTCGTGTAAGGTGTTTGTAATATTAACTGCTAGAAAATAAATATTTAAGTAAACCTAAACCATGGGTAATGCTGGTAGTGGACCTGGTCGAGACAGACAAAAACCTGGGGAACCTAGTGCTCCTCACTCACCAAGCAAAGAAGAACAAGCTTTTGTATTTGACAAAAAACCAAATAATAAACTAGTATTTCAGTCATCCCATGATGAAGAGGAACCGTATTTTACCAAAGGACGTGATGCTTCGGTGAGTATTTCTAAAAGGAATTCCAAAGATATTTTTTTTATAGCCTAGGCCTAACTTAGTTTTATATAGGCCTAAGTATTTATAGGCTAAGTTTTATTTTCTGAGAAGTCCCTCATAGTCATAAACTGCCTTTTACATGTTTTAAAATTTAAAGAGATCACTTCATGACCTTAAGTCTTGTTTCCAGTGTTTACAGATCATCAAAACATATTAATGATATTTAACATATTAAACATAGGCCTACAAGTTCTATGGTGTGAGCCTGGGTTTTCCGTTCCATGGATTAATGAACTGAATGATAGCGATATTGACGACATAGTATTGTTATACTCGGTTACAAAAAGGACTATACCCTAAGTGTATTCATCCCATCTTAAAACGAATTAGTTTTGGAGAATAGGCTTACCATAACTTGATGCATGATCTGGAACTATGAAGATAGATTCAAAACTTATTAGATTAACTCCAGATAAGTTTGACGAAGCATTGTCAATGATCGATTATGATCTATGCTCTAATGTAACTTAATTAAATTACAACCTACTATCATTCTGAAGATTTGCAGCCACAGAGCAATTTGCAGCAATCTCCTACCATGCAACGTTATTCATAACCTGGTCCCTGTCCATATTTGTAGAGTTGTGTCCCAGATTACAGGATGACTACCTACGCACTTCCTGAATCAATGCTTTCATGGAAAAAATCAGTGTGAACGGTCTCCTTTGATATCATTCGCAGCGTTTTGTTTAAACAAAAATGTAGCCTACCATACATCCAGGAATCTGGTGTAAAAAGCCCTTTATGTCCGTGTTATGCTTATGTTAATCTGGGGAGAGGGGGGCATGTCCCGAGTTTTCTCCTAACCAAACGTGGCAGCCCTGGTTGCCCCTGTCAATAGATATGAGAACCGTAGAACATAGATCAAGTTCTGTAGATGTATACTAAACTTTAATTAAGTGACATAAGCCACAATTAATGAGAAGTCACCAAAAGTAGTTATAATTCTAGTACAGACATTGCTACCGTCCGCTTCTTACAAGAGAGAATATCTATCAAGAAGTTTTAAGTAATCATACAGTTCTATTACTCACACTTCTTGTTTGTGACACATTTTGATGAAATATTATTTTCTGTAGAGTGTTATTTGATCCTAGACATTGGAAAGTCAGTAAGCGATAGAGCGCTAAGTTAAGAAAGGCTATTTTAATTCAGAACTTTAATGAGATTATTTAATTTTTTAAGCCTTAAAGGCCTATGTACATCAGCCATCTAGAATAATATAACTAAACCTCCACTTACAACATCTCAATGCAAACAAACGGAGGTTGTCACTTGTCAACTAGAAATAGGTATAAGGCAATATTATTAAATTATGGTTGCGTTGCAATAAGGGAACCAATGGGTTAATAAGCACAAAATATTATTTAGATATGGATCATACCATTAGAAGACCTTGTACTTGCTTTGGCAGTACTTAAAATTATAATTTCACATGGTTATTATTGGCATTGTTATTTGAATACTTGCCTGTATCATCATCACTGACACAATGAGCAGCTGTCCAAAGCCCAATGAGGCTCTCAGACAGCTGATCATTGCACCCAGTGATTATAACGAGATGTTACCGCCACCGCCCACACCGCACCGTGGAGAACGCATCATACCGTGCATAACCGAACTGTTCGTGGGAAATTGTTATTTCTATCACTGTCGCTGTCAAAACGTATCGTTTGTAGGTTAAATTTAAATTAATTTAACTGTCATAAACCTAACCAAACCAACCAAACTTGCTGATAATAAAAAAAATCGGGTCAAAAAGTTAATGCCTCCGGTGGGTTTCGAACCGACTACTTTCGAATTATCAGCCCGGTGCGCTATTCACTACACCACCGAGACCGATGGCTGTACAACGTATCGTTGCGGTAATGGTGTTCGCTCGAGCAGTGGTGGTGGGCGGTGTCAGTCTGTCGGCAAGGGCTTCTGTGATTATGAGATAGGCAAGTATTTGGATGACCTAAAAAGCCCTAAATGTGACTCCAATTGTCTGCACATCAAGATCACTCCGAGGACAGCTGCCTACAGATTCCATTGTGAAAACATTGGGCAACAAAGGAGGATCTCCCTACCTCTTGAACTATTTCTATCATCATCTTAAAAATTGCCATTCAAGCTAATTTAATATAGCCTACATGAAGATTCTCACATTAGGTCTCTCTCACTACCCTTCTTCCACGCCATTCTAATTTAAACGATCTATAATCAAATTATTTGGCTTACTATTTCGTGAACCTAAAAGTTTCTATGAATGTATAACACTAGTACCTATGGTAATCAGGAAATATTTAGGTAACTAATTTAATTAACTAGCTGTGTGCCCGTTCTACGCACGGGGATCTTATAGTAGTCAGTTTTTTAGCTTGGTATTAACTTGAAAATATACATTTTTATGACCATAACCAGTGGTCATCACATCATAAAACAGTCTGAGACCATTTCACAGTACCTTAGTTATTTGAACCTTACTATGTATAATTATTTTTAAATTTGAAAGTATCTTACTAACTTAGATCATGTATTTATGTGGATTCATTGGTTTTAACAAGTCTAATAAGGGGTTTTCTAAATTTAGGATAATGAAATTGGAGCTCCTAGGAAAAGGGCTGCTACTCTTTCTGAAGGATCCAAAATCCCAACAGGAATTGATGATACAGTTTTACCAACAGTGTTCAAATGGGAAGGAGGAGGGAAAAATGTGATGATAAGTGGAACTTTTTCTGATTGGTTGCCTCTACCCATGGTGAAAAGGTAGGTTTGATTTTTGTATTTATGTATAACTAGCTGTACCCGCGGGCTTTGCCCCGTTTACCTTCATAAGTATTCGCATGGCTCAATCACGTCCTGGTTGAGGTTCGTTCGCTACGCTCACTCACCTTTAGGTTGGAGCTCGTTCGCTGCGCTCACTTGCCTTCAGGTTAGCTCGTTCGCTACGATAACTCGCCTCTAGGTTGAAGTTCGTTCGCTACGCTCACTCACCTTTTGGTTGCAAATTAGCTGTTGTCATAAATAAAAATAAATAATAGTGCTGCACCCTGTTGGTAATCCTTGTAACTTTAATGCTATTGAACATCATAGAACAGAACCAACTTGTTTAATTGAAACAGCTGTTAAGATTCATTAATTCCTTTTAAATATGGAAAATCGTAAGGTTAACATGGGAAACTCCAGAGCCCGATCAGAATAAAAACTACTTAGTTTTCCTATTTAATGTCCAAAGAATCGGTGTACCGAATTTCAGCCTCCTAGGTAAATGGGAAGTGGGAGGATTAGTGATGGATGAGTGAGTGAGTCAGCGAGTCAGTGAGAGCTTTGCCTTTTATATATTTAGATGTACTCATTTATTGACAGTTTATTCATTGTCGTTTGTTTCACTGTGGCTTGATGTAGGGTGAATCAGTAGGCCTAAACTTACCTGTCCACAAATACCACTATTATTTTTTTTTCTAACTCAACATCTCATAAGTGATGTTGTCTTTGAGGACATAAGTTATTAGTCCAGTCAATGAATTATCCAAAAGTGGGTGTAGAGTGTGGGAGCAGGTAACTAAGCAATTCCTTCAGAAACTTGTTCAGGGGGCTTAGGGTGTTAACATACCAAAAGTCCTGACTCCTAGGTGTTGAGCCAGGAGGGTGGAGGGGGGAAAGGGTGGTAAAGGTACGCATTTTGCGTTTTTTCGATTAGGCTATATCTTGAAAACTATCAACTTTTTGTATACAATACTAAATTATAAAATTGAAGAAGATTAAATTTCCTACAAGAAAAGTATATAATGTGTTTACTTTGGTTTAACCATTTACATGTTATTACTAATTTAATTAATATCTTATTAAAATACTCCTTCATAAGAAATACATGTAAATAAGTATGCAAAATGGGGCAAATCCTATCCGCCCAAAAGAAATATAACCGATATTCTGAAAAACTTGACAAAATTTCCAGTAATTTGACACTTTAATAATAACACAAAAACAGCGAAACCAAGCTGGTTGTTGTGTTTTATGGGGGATTAAATTAGTATTAACTCGTAAAAGGTTTAACCAAAATAAACACATTACCGGTACATACTTTTCTTGAAGAAAATTTAATCTTCTTTAATGTTATAATTTAGTATAGTATACAAAAAGATTATAGTTTTCGAGATATAATCGAAAAACCCAAAATGTGTACCTTTACCCCCCCCCCTTTCCCCCATGGCTGAACCTAGGAGTCAGGACTTTTGGTATGTTAACACCCTAAACACACTGAACAAGTTTCTGAAGTAATTGCTTAGTTACCTGCTCACGCACTCTACACCTCATGCCTTGACTGGACTATATGATAGAACAATACTGGTTGAAAAGGATTAAATATACTATTGATAGACATTTATTTTATAGTTTACAAACTGTAAAAATTCTGGTTTTAAATGAGCCAGGAAAACATGTTTGTTAAATTGATGTTAGTAATTTGAACTGGGGAAATTAGTGTCAGATTATAAATTGATGTCTGTTAAAATTTAACTAGGGTGTTCACAAAAATGTTGCTATAAGACTGTAAAAGGGTTGTCTGCAGGCCAGTTTGGCTGCCAAACAGATGCACAGAAGCATCACCTCTATTTTATAATATTGTTTAATCATTTTTCCAGCCATGGAGACTTTGTGACAATAATTGATTTACCTGAAGGCGAACATCAGTACAAATTTTATGTGGATGGAGACTGGAAATATGATCCTGGCGCGGTAAGTTGATTTAATTCAGTTTAAGCATAGTTCAAGTTGATAACAGCAAATTAACATAATTTATGATGGTATTATTTTCTTTCTGTTATTAAAGATTTATGTCACACCTGGTACTTATAACCTTTTTCATGTGCAAGCACTTACTGGCACTTAAGGAGGGTTATCAGTGCCAATAATGTATTATCAAAGAAATACACAACCCACCTTAGCTGTTGGATTCTTCAATAAATTGAGCGATGCATATAATCTTTGCTTGATGATGTCCCATTTCTTCCAAGCTATTCAGAGCAACGAAACTTATGATAGCTAACAAAGGCCTATCACAAAGTAGGGAATATTTTGATTGAAAAGTGACTAGATGGATATTTGTGACCTGCTTAAGACATTTCTCAACAAAACGCAAAATAAATGATTTTCACTTAATAGGTGGGCATACTGTTGATTGACATTGATGGTTTTTAATTTGCAACTTATTAGGCCCCGGCCACACGAGGTTTAACCACGCGAAGTTAAGCCGTGCGAAGTTAAGGGCTTAAACAACACATTGAATCAAATGAGAGTGGCCACACGAGGCGAAGTTTAGCCGCATGTACGGTTGAGCCGCGCCTTGTCGTTCCTCGACCGCGCGAAGTTAAGCCGCGTTGGAGGGGATGACACACATAGTCTTATGAGAGTGGCCACACGATACGGTTCGACCGCGCGGCAGCCGCGCTTATTGGAGATATTTTTCGGACATTACCAGTGGTTTTTGAGTTTGTTTTGCGTGTTTGTTACCGCTTGTGTGGTGTTCAAACAATGTTTGATACAGACAAGCTTATTGAACTGGTCAAAGATGCTACAGACATACGGTAATAACCAAAAAACTCCAAACTATGGTTTCGCATGTGCTCTTAAAAGGTTTGGAACACAAATGGTTTTTCCGTTATGAAGGGATGAACCCAATGATTTCTGTTAACATTTGGTTCCAGATCACCACACACTTCTAATGCACAAACTAACATACGGTTTTCGTCCATGACTAAAAAGAGTGAACTAAACTTAGTTTTTATAGATTACTGATACTGGGAAAACCCAACAGGAAGCGGTTAATCCGCCCCGTGTGGCCAGGCACTTTGCGCGGCTTAACTTCTCGCGAAGATAAGCCGCGCGGCTTAAATTCGCCTCGTGTGGCCGAGGCCTTATGGAACTTTGGACATATTGTTCTAGCTGTGCAATACATTACATCAAGGTTTGCTTAAATACCTGCTTCTGCACAATCCAATTGTTAGACAGACACAGCAAATGTAAATGTTACAGGTGCTGGCATTAAAATGGTGAAATGGTTCATTAAAACAATTAAATCACCTAACGTAAACAGAGTTTACTCCTTTGACAAGTCTTAACTAGTTAAGGCAATTAGTAACAATTGGATTATGCAGAAGCAGGCATTTAAACAAATGTAGTCATTCAAAGTACCCGGAGGCTACAGTCATAAATGACATCAAGATTGTTTGCATTTATAAGATTCTTTGTATTTTAGTTTGAACTTAATGCATTAGAGGTTTATGTTTCCCCCAATCAACAAATATTAAATCTCTCGTATATGAAGTATAAGAAAACAGTATAATCTTTGTTACATTTCCTCAATTTTATAATAATTTGTTACATTTAGTGAAGTTGTATTAGTATGCCTGAGATACTATTAAATTATATTTTTAAATTGAGTTTTCAAAATAGTCCTGTAATGTTAGCCTAAAACATGAAACCTCGCAAGTTGTTACCTTTTAGTTACTATTTTGCCTAAATGTCGACTTGTGAGGTCATTTTAGAAATACAAGTTTGCTTTCTTCAGAATAAGAGGCTGGTTTGTTATTTGTCGACATTTTGGTTTCATTAGATTCTCTTATAAAATATGAGGTTACAGTTAAACAAGATTTTTGATGATCAACAAGTTTATGTGAAGTGTCTTTAGTGGCTCATAGCTGGGCAAAAGGCCTTATAAAATAAAAACTACTAAAATTGGTGGTGTTTGTTTTAATTTTTTGTTGTTTCCAGTCAATTAAATAGTGCATTATTAAAAAACATTGGTTCTAGACATAAATTTGAGAAGGGATTTGAAACTTGTTTCAACCTTTGTATAGAGAATCACCGACAATGGGATGGGCTCTAAGAACAACCTTGTCACGGTGAAACGGAGCGACTTTGAAGTGTTCCAAGCGCTTGCCATGGACAGTGAGAGTGCCTCAGACAGACAACAGAGTGAGTTACTGTAGATCTAACCAGCTGGATGTTCAAACGTCTAGCATAACCAGTCTTGATTTAAAAATATTCTCTACAGACAAAAATACAGTGCAAACAATGCAAATATATACCACTAAGAGTGGTTCAAATTTGACCTATTAATCCATATGTTTTTGTGTTGAAAAAAAGAATTAAATTAAGTTTGGATACAACCAGAGACAAAAGAAATGGTGAAATGACAACAGGGAAGTTTTTCATCGGGACAAGTTTTTAAAAATGACTCCCTGTACTCTGACCACCCGATGCCACCTTTTCTAAATCTGATAGCCCAGCGGAAAGGTTTGACTGCACAATGTTTTCCTGATGTTACAGTATCAGTCAATAACTTTACCTAAATCCTCAAATTTCCCTAATCACTAGTAGAGTTATTTTATCCTTTGAAGACGGATAAGTCTAATCAATTTAGGGTAGATTAAGTTTACAAACACACAAACATATTTTACAAGAAAAATAATTTTTAATATTGTCCTCAATCAATCAACCAATCAAATAAATCTTTATTCAACACATATCAAGCATAGACTACATTAATGCGTCATTGTTATATTAATTTTTTCAGTCTAATGATAAAACAAATATATTATACAAGAATATTTACTGCAATTTCTTATACACAATATTGTACCTATTGTATACATTACACTAGTTATACAATAAAAGAATCTTGTGGTAATTATGTTTGTCTTGCTGTTTTTTTTTTTTTTTTTTTAACTCTGACTCATGGTTCTTTACGTTCAATTTTATTTTATAAATGTAGAGACTGTAAACTGTCAATAATTCTAATCCTCAAAAATCATTTAATACAATAATTTGTATCCAGGTTAAGCATGCCTCTTATACCTTTTCTTTTTCCTTTTGTAAAATTTACATTTAATGTATAATTTTATTTAATTTACACTTACTTGTTCCTCCATAAATCTCTATTCTGTATGAAATATGAATCTGTATGTTGGCAAAGTAAACTGTTCGCAAAATTATTTTTCTGTTCAACGGATAGGCTATAGGCATCTAGTTACAAAAAAACAGAGATTTTTTTTTTCAAATATTATTAACATGTGTGGTCCTATCAAGTGCACTATCTATTGCTAGGCCTAAAATTTTGTTTTTGTGACTAAATTATAAGGAAAACTATTTTAATTTTTAATTTACATCTATATTTTTTCAAGGTTGTTTATTTGAGTTAAGTAGAAGGTTTTTTTATTATTTAAGTAGGTACTGATATAGAAACTTATTTTTTATTTCTAGAACTTCAATATATAAGTTTCAATACCATGAACTGTTGTGCTTATGTCATCTGCATACAAGCATAAGGTAGGAATAGGATGAATCAATAGATATAGGATGATTAGTATAGATTCGTCCTATTCCTACCTTATGTTTGCATGTATACATGCAGTAAAGCAATCAAGATTTAATAACTGACTGTATGGTCAGATACATGTTTAGGCATCCCTCCCAAGTAGTAGCGTAAGAACAGGAATGGACCCAACACTGATCCCTGTGGCATGGAATATTTTACTTCTCTTACTTCCTTTAAACTAATGATTCATCTCATGACCCTTGGTTCTCCAAACCTGAGTTGAGTTATTAAAATCTTGTCTCAGTTTACAATTACATTGAATATATAACTTTTTATTTCCTCCTAGTCTGCTTAAAAAGGTGTTTATTGATTGCTTCAAACATGAAAGAAGATTTTTAAATGTTTGGTGTAACCTGAAAAGCACTCAAAACTATCTATACATTCAGTCTTTTAACGTTTTAAAGATAAACAGTTGTATTTCTGCATTCTTCTTTGTTTTGGATTTCCATTTACGTGTTTGCCAAGTTGGAATTTTCATATAAAATCTTTCATTTTCATCCGACATTTTTATGTTCACTCCCAATTTTTTATGGAATGTAAAATGAGGATCTGACACTATAGCTTTCAATGTGTTAGTTAAAACAAAATCCCCATTTTTTATTGTAACACGAACATAGTAATCTTGGTCGAGCTTACCAATTGGTGTTGCCAGAAAGTATACCTTGAAAGTAGCTGTTGCCTCATCATAGATCATTAGAAACCAAAACAAATTGTCAAACAACCATACTGGAATGTGCGCCAATAAACTCAACAAACCTACAGATCTCTCTGTAATGATGGGAATATCTCCATGATTTTCCTTATAATGGTCCAATACCTTCACAACTGGCATTTTAACAGGACATTGAGGCACTTTACACACAATCGGTCTGTAGCCACAGAACCTCTCATGATCATTACCTGGTTCCACAATTTCCGCACATCCATCTTGACTGTAGATACAATGGTGAGGCAGAGCTTCTAGAATATTTCTTAGACAAACTGGATTTTCCAATATGATCGGCCCTTCACATGTAGGACATTGACTTAGCTTGATGGTACATGACAAACATATAATATGACCTCTAGAGCACAGTTTAAAAGGAACTTTTGCAGTTTCTAAACACACTGGGCACTCGACACATTTTTCAACTGTGGTTAAAATGGATTTAGAACTTTCACTTGTATCTCTTACACCTGCCATTTGGCTGAAATGTTACTTATAGAGTTAAGAGTAATGTTGAAAATGACTGTCTCTAGATGATTATTTATATGTTAATTTAATTCATCAGATGTTTTATTTGTTTACATTTTTGCAGTTAGTGTTTTCCTTTGGATTGATTGTTAGAAATGGTCTTGAATAGTTATGTCTGATTAAAATTGAAGTTCTTTTTGTACTATGTTTTCTTGAGATTATTTAAAAAGTATACCCCTTTTAGAAGAGTCAGTATCGTGTTTTAACATTTGGCGACCGTGACAGGACAGTATGATGAGTGAAACTGATGTTAGGGAATTTAATAAGAACAAGAAACATAGAACTGTTGTCAGGGCAAACTTTTCAAGACTAGTGAACCATTTAAAGGATGAACTCACACAGGAAACGGTTCACTTACATGAATTAAAAGGTAGGTTTCAAACTGTAAGTATGATTTATGAAGAGTTAAAGAATTTAGACACAAAGATATCTGACCATTTATTTCAATTTGAGGAAAGTGAAGCAATTCTTGAAGAAGAAGTGTCTAAAGCTTATAGTTATTTGGAAACCTACAATCAAGTAAATGTTTTGGTACAAAGTAAGTTGAATGAGTCTAGAGATTATGATTTTGTCAGTAGTAATTCAGCTAAGAGTGGAAGTTCAAATTTAAAGACTAAGCTTAGACTTCCCAAGATTGAACTAGTACAATTTAGTGGGAATCTTAAAGAATGGCTTCCTTTTTGGGGAATTTTTAAGAGGATAGATGAAGATCCCTCTATTGATGATGTTGATAAGTTCCACTATTTAGTTCAGGCCACTATTCCAAATTCTAAAGCGAGACAAATTGTAGATAGCTATCCTGCTACATCAGAGAATTATAGAGATGCTATTCAGAGTTTAAAAAGTCGTTTTGGAAGGGATGATCTTTTGATAGAAGTCTATGTTCGAGAACTTTTAAAGTTGCTACTCAATAACTTAAGTCAAAAGGTAGTGATTTCGACCTTATTTGACAAATTAGAATGTCAAATCAGAGCTCTTGACACATTATGAGTAACTACTGATAAATGTGCGGCTATTCTTTACCCATTAGTTGAGTCGTGTTTGCCAGAGGATCTTTTAAGGGCGTGGCAACGTCATTCCGACTTTGATCCAGAAGCTGATTTGAAGAATAGACTCAATGCACTTTTGAAGTTTCTGCGAATTGAAGTGACAAATGAGGAAAGAATTTCACTTGCTACCTCAGGTTTTGGGGACTCGAAGAGACAATTGGGTAAGTCATCCAAACCATTCTTAAGTGACGAAATGGAATCAATACCAACTGCAGCCGGTCTTGTCAACCAAAAGGTCGATAAAACCCCTATGAAATGTGTTTTTTGTGGTGCAAAACATTTGACGGAAAACTGTAAGAGTTGTAGTAATCTGACACATTTAGAAAAGGTAAACCTATTGTCAAGTAACAGATGTTGTTATCGTTGCACAAAGTATGGCCATGTCAGTAAGATGTGTCATGTACGATTAAACTGTTCTCTTTGCAATGGTCGACATGCAACAGTAATGTGTAACAAGTCTCAAGAAAAATCTGATGTAAATAATGTTAATGATAACACTTTAGTACCTTGTGAACGTAATTTAGCTAATAATGCACACACTGAAGTATTTTTACAAACTGTACGTGTGAATATTAGAGGAGGTAATAATGAACGAGCAGCACGTGTCATTTTTGACTCTGGTTCTCAAAGGTCCTACATTTTGAAGAAAACTGCAGAAGAAATGGGGTATGTATCATTTGGAAAGGAAACCCTTAATCATGCATTGTTTGGTGGATCAACAACAAATGCTGTTGAACACAATCGACATAAAGTAAGGTTAAGTGATTTGGGTAATACTTACTTTTGCAACTTTGAGGTATTAGATCAAGATGTGATATGTAATAACATTTCAACAATCAAAGCGGGTCCTTGGTTAAACGAATTACAGTCTTTTGGTATTAATGTTTCTGACACTGTAGATGGACCGGTAGAAGTTTTGATTGGATCTGATATTGGTGGAAAGTTGTTTACAGGGAAACGTCATGTTTTGACAAATGATTTAGTTGCAATGGAAACCTTACTTGGTTGGGTGTTAATGGGGAAAGTAAAAGTAAAAGGAGTGACATGTAGATCAAGTGTAATGACTATAACATCTTTGTTAACACCTATTTCTGACAAGTGTAGTGTAGACATTCCTAATATAGAGGATACTGTAACTGTCAAGATGGAATCTGAAAATAATAAGATTTGTGAATGTGATGAAGACGCTTTTGGATATGAATTGAAAAAGTCTGTAAAAAAAACGAAAAAGAGGTAGAAGAAGTGCAAGATAAAGAAAGTTCAAATGGAAAAGTTGTAAATAAAGTTAAATTTAGAAAACGAGGAAAACAAATTAAGTTACCAAAAAGACTGAACTTTTAATATGATAATATGTGTTTTGAGTCTTTAAATAATGAAAACTTTAAGACTCAAAAGGTGGGAGTATGTTGAAAATGACTGTCTCTAGATGATTATTTATATGTTAATTTAATTCATCAGATGTTTTATTTGTTTACATTTTTGCAGTTAGTGTTTTCCTTTGGATTGATTGTTAGAAATGGTCTTGAATAGTTATGTCTGATTAAAATTGAAGTTCTTTTTGTACTATGTTTTCTTGAGATTATTTAAAAAGTATACCCCTTTTAGAAGAGTCAGTATCCCGTTTTAACAAGTAATACATCATGCATATTGCTAGTGGATCACTTGATGGGTTGGGCTTCACTGTCATATTGGTGATAACTGATAACTTATCTTCAAGGTGACACTCTGGTAATGACTGTATCTAAAATCATAAACATTTTTACACTCAGCTTAAAGGTTTAAATAAACCATTTGAAGATCACCACTCTCAAATTGATAACACTGTTAAATACAGTATACTCTTGATAATTCAAAATTGGTGGGCCAAGCAAATAAATTTGAATGATCAAGAAGAGGTTTGATTTAGGAAAAAATAAATAAATAAATAAACCCTTCCAATAACTAGTTCATTTTTTAAAATACTGTATTATGTAACTTGAAGAGACAGTCTCTGGTGAAAACCATGTGAGGCTGGACCAATCGTGTATATTAGCACTTGATTCTTCTGTTCAAGTGTGAGCAGACAAGAATCAAGTGTGAATATACGCAATTTGTATTATGTAGGGTACAGAAAGTTACAATTAAACAGCTTTTTTGTAGGGATGGACGAGATTGGATTTTTAGTTCGAGACGAGACGAGACGAGATTTTTTATTTCTCATAAAATTTCGAGACGAGATCGAGACGGGATTTCCCTTCTCATACACAACGGGAAATGCACGTTCAAAATTTTTACCTGATTTTGTAACATTGTTAGATGACTGTTTAAATACAAAAATAATGATAATAGGCAAGAATATTTACAATCTTTTATTAAAAAACATCACATAATAGTTAACAACATCTAGTATGTCAACATGAAGTAAAAAACATCAGCATAACATTTTTTATTAATCACGCCTAACTTATTAAAAATGCCTACGATTAGGAAACAGTGATATCAGTTAGGATAGAGTTCAACTTATCCTAAAATAAAATAAATCATAAAATAAAAGCAATATTAATTTTTATAAAATAGTTACTTGTTTTGACTTTTTATAGTAATAAAACATTCCTCACACTGCTTACACTTAACAAAACTTCTCAAATGTTATTAAAGTAATATTATTAAAATAATTAAAGTAATATTTACATTTAAAGAATTAATTAAATAAGAACGCCTTCGCAAAGGAAACGCAACTACAACACGCTCCTGTATTGCGGGTATTGCATTGACTTTCTGCAGGCGTTTTTAATTTTTTTTTTTTTTTTTTTTTTTTTTTTAATTCTTGTCTCGATAAAAATCTCGGCCAAAAAGAAATCTCGTCTCGTGTAACGAGATTTAAAATTTCCCGAAAATTTCCCGAAATTTCGAGACTTGACCATCCCTACTTTTTTGGTTACTTTACAAAAAGCAATAGCTTATTGTTAAATTAAATTACAAAATCTTGTGACATCAATGACATTATTATGACACACTACTGAGCTAACAGGATGTCTAGTTTCCTTTTTTGGGTGGACTTCATGTTAACCAGTGACAGGGTATAGAAGAATTAAGCTTCCTTAACCGCTCAAGAAAGAAACATGAGAGAGTGATAAGCAATTCCTCTTTGCACCAGAATTAACATTTCATGTCATGTTTAGGAGAATATTCACAAGAGATTCCAACAAACAGACCGTGGGAGAAGCCGTCGGGACCACCGATCCTGCCTCCTCACCTACTGCAAGTCATCCTCAACAAGGACACTCCATTGTCGGTATGTATCTCCCCAACTTGAAAACTATTATTAAAGAAATCTTCTGAGACTTGAATACTTTAAACAAAAATAGCGACCATTTGAAGGTAGGTGTTTTAAGCCAAGTATGAATAGAGATGAGTGTAGCATGAGTGGTGCGATCTTGTAGTCTTTTTACTAAGGCCGTCATGTTCCTTAGACAGGACTGTTAATTAATAGCCCTTAAAGCCAATGGCAACTAAGGCGCCTACAGTTTATAGTAGAATCTGAACCACACTTTTACCTTGCAATTTTACAAATTGGTCTAATTAGCAGGATAGTTAGTTGTAGTAGTGCTGACTTTAATCCACACCAGGGAGTATCACATCCACAGATTATTCCTACAAATATCCACAATTCGTGACCTCTAAGTAGCTGTATTGCAGCATTGCAGGTGGACGCCACGGTCCCAGTCGATAGAGTAATTGAGATGGCAGACATACTTAGTGAGCTTTTATTGCAAAAGATATTTTAATTTACCTTGATTTCTAACAGCGGTTTTTATAGCAGTTGTGATTTTGATGTGTAGCATTAACGGTTGTTTTACCAACTTTTTTTGGTGTTGAGATAGTTGTGTATTTCATATTGTTTGGATAACCGGACACTACCAATTTATAATTTTCTTTTCATTCTTATTGTACCAAGGAAAGTAAAAAAAGTTCAAGTTCACCAATGACGACATTTTGCTCAATGCTTCACAATGTACAAAAAGACAAGTAAATTATGGCGCCGGATAATCAACATATTCTGCAACTTCATGAATACCTTGTTGCTGTCCATTGAACATTTTACTACAAAGCACTGATTGCCTGCCAAACACTTAATTACACTTTGTATGTGTTTGATTTGTTATTGTGAATTTATTTATTTATGTTATTGAGAGTCAAATCTGGAATTTGTCGTTATTTGAAGTCAGTGTAGGAATTTGTCCATTTTTATTAAACAATCATATTTGTTTTTCCAGTGTGAGCCAACCCTACTTCCAGAGCCGAACCATGTAATGTTGAACCATCTGTACGCTCTGTCCATCAAAGATGGCGTAATGGTATTGAGTGCGACACATCGCTACCGCAAGAAATACGTCACCACTCTGTTGTACAAACCTATCTAAAGTGGATATTGTTACCATTACACAGGTCTATGGGCCTTGCTCGTCTAAAGGGTCAATTCAAAGTTGTATTTGAGGATGTTAAAGCTTGGTTTAGGCCTACACAGTTAGATGGGTTGATGTGGCCAAGTTAACGTTCTACTGTCCTTGTTTTACAATTCATCATAGTCATTCATAGTCTTCATTCAAATTCATTTCTTCATTCATTCATAGTCTTCATTCATTTCATAGCAATTCATAGTCTTTGATGTTTTTAAAGTGCTTGGATGAGAATTTTTCATTCCTCTACACTATGAACCTACAAAATTGCATGGTTGGGGAAGCCAGAGTTCAGAATCAACTTCACTGACTGTCTGGCTCGACTTAAACTTGCGCTTCACATATTGATAGCCAAGAAATAACCTGCCCATTAACTTCACACAAGTAAAACAGCCTTAATGCAGACATTTTTCAGTAATTCTACAACTTTCTATTGGAAATTTTTAATGTTTTTTATAATTTATCAAAATTGGCATTCGCCCCAAGAAACATTAACCAGTTATAAAATCCTCTAATACTTATTTTCACTCTCGTTATATTTTTGATGTTTTTATTGTAAATAACTGCTTGATATTAATTTAAGTTCTAGAAAGTCATAACTTTGGATTGTTTGTTTGGCAAATATTTTGTATAGACGTTAACTTAGGGTTAGTTGCTTTCTACTGACTAGTGGGTGCAGCATTTGCGATGCAAGGTGATATTTGGATAAGAAATTGTGGTAGGATCAAGACTAGTTCTCACTTGAAATGCTTCAAATGCATAACATTGGGTTTCACACCATTGGACACATTATTGGTTACAGGTTGAAAACTCAACTAATACAATGTATTGTGCAAACTTCTCTATTTTTACCCCACGCTGTAAATAAATATGTATTTGAATTTCTTCCATTTGTTTTGATTTTCTGTTTATACTTCATTGTTATTTCGTCACTATCATGGCAACAAGGCCCGTGTTATTTTTTAAAATATTAAATTCATTTTTTGTGCTTATTTTTTAGCCTATTTTAATTTGTGAAGGGATTCTGAACATCTACAGGAAAATCTATCTATATATATAATACGTGAAGCCGGTTTTTGTTAATGCAACTCCTCCCTTATTTGTGGACCAATTTCAACGTATAAGGTGTCAAAAGATTTGTCTCAGTATAAAGTTTTGCAATAAGGTTTTAGAATTTTAAAATTTCTACTCTGAAGGGCATGAGACCCTCTCAAAGGTCGGGTTTTCCCCATAAGAAATACATAGAACAAATTTAAAAACAAAAACAGCTGTTTATGAAAAGAAACTCATTAGCTTTTTGGTAGTAATGTTTGTAACATTCAGTAGGTTAAGACCAATTTAAACAGTTAACCAGTTTTGTTGGAAGAACAGAAAACGCCTCAAGTTCAAAGAAGAAATATTAAAACGGGACACATTCACTTGGTGAGATGAATAATATTTGCCAGTTTTGCTATAGTCCAGGAAAAATTTTTAAGGGGGGGTTACCCTTAAACCTGGGCAAAATTGCTTCACAAGCGATTGAAGTGGTATTCAACACAGAAAATAGTGCTTTATAACATATCCAAAATCCGACAAAATCCCACCATGGGAAATTAATAAAAAATCTAATTCAAAATGGCGGCAAATTTTCAAATTTTTGTGATATTTGTTTTAAGACTTTTGGTGGTATGGGATAACGGAAAGCACATATACATAAATTAAATATCAGATTGGATGTTGAAATATCAAACAAATACAAGAATAGACTTTATTAAAACGACAAGGGCATTTGTATGTACATTTTCGTTTCCGTAGTTACAAAAAAATAACTAAATTTAATAAGTTTTCTTAGACAAACTATTCATTTGAATAACTGTTATCATTTTTTTTTCAATGTTCTTACATTCATTGATCCGGCACTCCCCTAAAGAAGCAGAACAAGACAGTCCGTTCTGCTTATCCACAGTTGCGCAACGGGTCATTAAAGAAGAATGGACCATATTCAATAATCACTCTAGGGTTGGCGGTCGGATACTGTACGGTAGTACGAGTTTTTCTTCAAGAAGGACATTATTCTCAGACGTTTGAACAAATATGTGAAAAAATAACTATTATAGGAAGCAGTAAACATGAATACTATAGTATGAAATAGTAAACATATCAAAACAGGCAATGCAAAAAGACTAAAAAACAAAAAGTCGTACCCCCATACATTTCTTATGGAAGTTTCGTAATTTGAACATTTTTTAAGATAACTTTTCTTATATCTCCAGTTTTTACTAACGCTTGCAGTTTGTTCTAGCCTTAAAATATTCTGTGATAAAAGGGTTTAAATTTGAGCTATTGATCATTAAAATTGGATGATTTAGAAACGATCTACGAACCCTAACACAATATTAAATTTAACTTTTTAGATATAAGTTTTTATTAAAAGATGTATATCTCGGGAGGTTAATATGTCACCAAGTTCATTCTGGTCTCAAATTACTCAGTGAATATTTGGCTTTAATTTTATTAACCATTTAATAAAATCTGATAAATTTTAATTGAGTCATGAATATTAATTTAACAGTAGATTGTTAGTTTATTTAAATTTGTCTTTAGTTTTAGACATATATCCCCAATTCTAAATAACTCCCAAAATCTTTACAGTCTATAATAAATATTAACCTTATTGACTTTTGTTTTAGGTATGGATTAGTTATTGGGAGTAATTAGAATTGGGGATAAATGCCCTAAACTAAAGACAAATTTTGTAAACGAAATAATTTACTGTTAAATAAAGATTCATACGTCATTTTAAATTTGTCAGATTTTATTAAGTGATACATAAAATTGAAGCCAAACATCCACTGAGTAATTTGAGACAAAAAAGAACTTGGTGTTATATTAGCAACCCGAGATATACATATTTTAATAAAAACTTATTTCTAAAAAGTTAAATTTAATATTGTGTTAGGGTTTGTAGCTCGTCTATAACACTTCCAATTTTAATAATCAATAACTCAAATGAAAACACTTTTATCACCGAATGTTTTAAGGCTAGAACAAACTGGAAGCGTTTGTAAAGCTGGAGATATAAGAAAAATTATCTTAAAAAATGTTCAAACTACGTAACGTCCATAACAAATGGATGAGGGAGAATTTTCGTTTGAACATATCTTCAAAACGAAAAAATATATTTAAAAACGGATTTTAGCATTGAAATCATCATGAAAATCTAATTTATAATGATGTGTCACAACACTATCATTACGTTTAAAAAATATATTTATATTCAATATGGCGGATCCAATATGGCGGATCCAATATGCCAGATCCAAGATGGCGGCCAAAATGCGTTCCCGATCAAAATAAAGTACTAACCACCCAATAAATATCGGTGGTAATCTCAAGTAAATATCTAAAAAATATGCATACAAATGCATGTGATATATTTTTTAATGTGTCCAATGTTGGGGATAACCGCCATGTTTAATCGTCATTTGAGGGGGTTTCCTGTAGACCGATTTTTGTCAACTTTTAGTATGTCACTATGCACACCCAACACTATACCAAATAAAACCATACAATGTTTTCTTGCATTGTTTTAAGGCCATATCCCATATTTATCTGACTATTTGTGTTTTAAAATAAATTGCTCTTAAGAAAAATAGCCGCCATTTTAAAACTAATTTTTAGACACTTTCCCATGGTCGGATTTTGTCGGATTTTGGATATGTTGTAAAGTAACATTTGTTGAGTCGAATACCACTTCAATGGCTTATGAAGCAATTTTGCCCAGGTCAAATCATAATTTTACTAGACTACTATGCAACTTACTTTGGAAGTGAAAAAATACACGAAGCACATAGTGTTGTCATGGTTGTAAAGTAAACTTGCCAAATGTCAGATCTGAATTCTCCAACACAATCCAGAAATTTCAAGTCAAAAATAAGAAGTTTCAAAATCTCATTTAAAATTGAAAGTTTTAGTGCCAATATTAGACCAAACATAAGTGAAGGAATTAGTGTTTATGTATTCATCGATCGAGTAGTTACGGTCAAGTTTAGTTTTATGATTTAGTAGAGACAAATAATATACGCTGTTCAAAAAGAGAAAATGAACAAGTTAAATACGTTAACCAACTTTGAATGGTGTCGCTGCCTTAGCTTATTCAAAGCAGATTATGGCTGTCCAGTTGGTAACCCAGAGTTTGTGGGTAAATAATGGAGTACCTACATGAAATGGTTGATATCACCCCACTTTTCAGGATTCTCTTTGGAGAAAATTCGTTTGATTAGGAAGATGACTTAAATCAAAGAAATAAAATGACCCAACTTAAATTACACAGGTTATCAGTAAGGCAACAGTTTTCTTCAATTCTTAATGCTAGAAAAACTTTGTTACAACATGTTAACTCGAATTGAAGAAGATTGTTTAGCATTCATTAGAAGTTATCAGTTAAAACTGAGAGCAGAAATAATGTAGGTAAACCTTGACAACGCAAATAGAGATATTAAAAATTAGTTTCTAACAAGTGTTGAAATATTTAAACAACTCTAAGATGTAGCCTAACTAGAATTACTTGAACTTAAGCATAACCTTTTCCTTGGCATGGTTCATGATATGTGGCTCATTGAGCCGCACAGGTTCTCTAGTATCTTTCTGATATGCATAGATTTTCCCTGCGATGCACACAAGCTGAGAAAAATGGTTTTCAAGAAACATGCTTGCCTTTCTAATAATATAGGATTAGAAGACAATATTTTCTTTGTTGAAGTACTGAGAAGACAACCCATACAACAGCAAGTATGAAGACTCAAGAAATTAACACATTTTTATGTCCAACACATATATGTGGACTCAACAGAAGCAATTAATTACTATTGTACATTTTACATTGGTTTTCCATTCTTGTCAATGTATTCTCAATTGACTAAAACAGTAAAGAACCGGATACAATAAAAGATTTGAGGGTCATCAGCCTATTTTCTGGAAAGTGACTAATTTTAAATCAGTATGATTTTTATTACCTATATAGACAATATCCTATATTATTACCAATAGACAATATCCTGTAATGTGTGTGTGTATGTGTGAACAAGTCCTTTCCCCCACTCTACTACTTCTCAATACATACACACAGACATCTGATAGAGATCCTGGAAGAGGGGTCATCCCTGAAGGATCAGGGTGTGCCATATCTCATTATATAACAGGTCAATATTTTTGGTAAGGACATGTCAAGTCAATCATTTATTTTCACACAACGTTTTACAGATCCAGCATAGCTGGGAAACAGGTGAAATATGGTCATGGACAATTAAAATACATAAAACTCTAATAACTATACAATATGCTAAAAAATCTAACATATACATCATTTAAAAAATCATTAACTTTGTAATAGGTACCCTTTATTAAGCAGCAATTTGGTAACTTCTTTTTTGTATTTTTCAAAAGATTCTAATGATTTAATATTATCAGGCAGTTTATTATACAGTTTTTTCCCTAGATATTGTGGAAGGGTTTCTAGTGAGGTAAGTCTATGAATGGGCAATTGTAAATCATTTCGATGTCGTGTTAAATAATTATGGTTATGGTTTTCATTCATAAAAGATTAAAGATTTTTTTTATAAAGATTAATGTTTTCAGGATATAAACTGACGGAAGTGTTAATATTTCAATTCTCTAAATAAAAATTTACAGGATCGCCTAGGTTTTGAAAATGTCATAATTCTAAGGATCTTTTTTTGAATTTTGAAAATGGTTTCGGCATTTGAGCAGCTGCCCCAGAACTCTATTCCATACAACATGTTTGACACAAACAAAGCATAATAAACAATCATCCTTGTTCTGAGGTCAGTAACATGCTGCAGGACAGACATCTGGAAACTGACTGTATTTAGTTTATTAGCTAGAA